AGGAGAGAATGTACTCTACTCTAGCTGGGCTTCATAGCAGCCATTTTGTCCACAAAGATTTTCCACAGATTAATGTTTATCTATAAACAATCACCTATTATCTTACTCCATATGTACTTCCACATGTATTTTGTTATCACCCCCAAAATTTGGAAGGAGGGACTTCTCTCTGCCAAAGGATCTGGTATTGCCAGATGTAGGGAAATATAGAGACCATTAGGCCTCCGGCTCTTGGCTCTTTAACTCTGGATTTTTTAAAAAATGTTTAAAAAATGAGCTAAGGGTGATTCTCCTAAGTAGTATAGGTTCCCCCGAGCAACAGTTCTGAATCTCAGCACTACAGACATGTTGGGCTGGATACTTCTTGTAAGGACGGTCCTGAACTGGGGGAGATTTAGCAGCATTCCTGGCCCTGTGCCCTGGATGCCAGTAGTGATACCCTCCACCCCAAATTGTGACAAGCACAAAAGTCTCTACAAATTGCCTAGTGTCCCCTGGGAGAGAAACAACATTGCCCTGGGTGAGAAGCACTGTGCTAGCACATTATAAAGATGTTTTTGATCTAACTTATCTGGAACATATCTGCTTTCAAAATAAATTATTATCTGTCCTGTCAATTTTGACTCAAAACCTGTGCACTTTGCTAACCCCCAGGATGGTTTGGATGTTGCATTCCACTGCTCTGAAGTTCACATATATTTCAATTTAATACCTCTCTTTCTTTAGCCACTCCTTAGCTATAAAAATGCCTAACACATTGTGATGGCTTATGGTAGGAAGATAATAAATGTTATTTTCTTTTCCCACTTCATCTTTTCTTTCCCTCCCATAGCAATTCCTCAGATTTCTAGCCTAGTGGTAATTCTGTAATTCTTGCCTCTTGGCTTTGAATTAATTACAGGTTCATAAGTACTGGGGATTGACTTTGACTTTTCCTCACTCTTTTTATAAACCTTGGTAAAGTCAGATTGACTTGGAAACCTGATTTCTCCTTCTCTTCTCCTCTTCCTCCTTCTCCTCCTCCCTCCCCTTCCCCCCCCCCCGCCCCCGCTTCTTCTTCTTCTTCTTTTTTCAGAGTTCTGCTCAATATTAAGTGCAGGTTATAAAACAGTATGTTCGGTATGATTCGACTTTTACCTGCATACTATGTACTAGAAACACACTAATTTGCACGTGCAGAAAACACTCTGGAGGAATTTCTTCCAAAGTGTAATCTTTACCCTAAATGGGACTGTAAGTGATTCTGTTTCTTCTTTTTGCTCAGTTATATTTCTAATTCTTTTTTCTGTAAGCGTCTGTTGCTTGTATAATTAAAAAGGAGAAAAAATGCTTTCAGAAGTCATTCTCAAGCTTCCTGTAAAATCAGTGCAAGATCTGACACTTGTCCATGGCTGTTGTTAATGGTAACAGAGTTTTGTTTGAAATGGCACTTATTTTTAGAAGACACTAGGGCTACTGAGTCACCCAACGTATTTTAGGGAAAAGGTTGAAACAAGAAACCCCAAAAGAACAGGTGAAGATTTGCTAGGCAGATTTCTGTCTTGTACTGAAAGTTTTTTGGGTCAAGATATATGTATGTGCATGAGCTCAGATGGAATTTTCCTGAGCTGAGTGGCTGAATTTAGCAGTGAGCTAAGGCTTAGCAAGTCATCCAGTGGAGAATGGCTAGCGTATCCTGGGACTTAGTATATTGAAAAGATGTCCTGTAAGCACACCGTGTTCCTAGAGCTTTCTGGGCTTGTCTCTCTCCCAGTGGCTCAGCGATACCAAGAACTTCCCAAAGCACCACCCGCCGCTGAGTTGGCTCATAAGTGACAGCTCCTAGGGCCATAATGAATCATAACTCATGGACAGGCTTATGCTCAATTAAAACATGTCAATAATCAAAGTCATATCCTCACAGGTTGCTGTGTGCTTTTAGAAACCAAAGTTAGCTTTCCTCAGGGAAGTGCTATTTTGCTATTACACCTCTCTCATCATCCTGTACACAAACAAGGTGCTGTTATGAGTGGCAGGCTGCTTGTGATGGCAGAGTTTGTGAAAATGATGGGGAGGAAGGCGGTAAGTGGATGTAGCGGTTTAACTAGGAATGCGGTCTGATCAACAGTGTATTTAGCACCAAGCTTGGTTGATTTAGAAGAAAGAGCACAAGCCTGGAAGTAGACAAACCATATTCTGAATCTAATTTCCATCATATATTTCATATCAACTTCTCAGAGCCTCAGTTTCCTTACCTATAAAATAGGCACAATAGGCTCTTAGATTTGTTGTGAAGATTAATACATGGGACACTTGTAAGTTACCACCTGGTAATATAGCAGACGTTCAACATTCCTTTCCCTCTAGTCAATTTTCAGGTTTGTTGCTGGCAATTGGCATAGACCAGGGGTTTGCAGTCTTTTTCTGTAGAGAGACAGATAGTAAATATTTTATGTTTTGTGTGCCAGGAGGCAAAATTGAGAATATTATGTACATACTTATATAACAAAGAAAAAACAAATTTCTACCAGTTTATTTGATGAAATTCAAAATGTAGTGATAATATTGGGGTAAAGTTTTCTTTTTAATTTTTTAATGTTTATTTGTTTTTGAGAGACAGAGAGACACAGAGTGCGAGCAGGGAAGGGGCAGAGAGAGAGGGAGACACGGAATCTGAAGCAGGCTCCAGGCTCTGAGCTGTCAGCACGGAGCCCAACGCGGGCTCGAACTCATGAACCATAAGATCATGACCTGAGCTGAAGTCAGACGCTCAACCGGCTGAGCCACCCAGGCACTCCAGTACAGCTGGGGTAGTTTTTATAATATAGATCTATCAGTGAAAGGAAACAAATTCTTTTTCTGGGGAGACAACATTTCACTTAATTGGGGTTCAAAATTAGTGTTCCCTATCATCAAATTGGTTGCCAAATTGGGAATATCAATGGTTATTCCTAATTTAAAAGCCATAAAAAACCCCCAAAACAATACAGGTAGCAAGCTGAATTTGTTCCACAGGCCTTAGGTTGCCAATCCCTGGTGTAGACCAGTTAATAATGCTAATCTCTACTTGAGCTCTGACCCAATCATTCATGATGAGAAAATGATTTGAAACCATAAATGATACATAAACAACTGTTAGAAGGCTACAATCTGGAAAGGAAGAGGGGAATGATTCAGTCTCTAAATAAACAGACTTTTAGAATACTTAGGCTTTTGATTACATGATTCTTTAAAGACTACCACCTCTTGTGGCTGAAATCTGGAAAACGGTAAGAAGAAATAATCAGGCCACACAAACTGCCGGCCTACGCAGAGATCAAGCAGTGAATGATCATGGAAGCAGTTACTCAAGCAGGTTCTTTGCTTTCCATCAAATAAGAGATGGACATACCTGCTTTTAGTGAGGGTGTGGCTAAAGGAGGGATTAATATTGGCACAGAAGATAGCAGAGGGTCCCTTGCTGCTACTTTTTCACTGACTTGAATGGCCAGTTAGTGCACAGATGTGAGTCCACAGCAGAGAGAGGCAGGTAAGCAGACAGTGCTTTACAGGGTTCACCATGCTGAGCTCGCAACAAGGGATCCTACCCCACCTGTCAGGGAGGCTTCTAGCAGCATAAAGGAGATGCCTTAATTTTTGGTGTATGATGATGAGCATGTGTTGACATAAAATCAAGTAAGATAGGTTACTAAGCATTAGGCAATTCTAAAGCAAAAAGTAATCAAGACTCCATCTGGAATCCGGGCGTCCACAATAAGCAGGGATTGCAGACGGGTCGCACTGTGGTGCAGCTGCTCTGGACCTTACGGCAGTACCTGCACAGCGGCGATAGAAGTCTGCATGAACCACAAAGGCAGGTAGGGGCTTCCGAAGCTCAGGGCTCGGATAAAGCTACTGCTCCGTCTCAGCATGTTTTACGGAGAAGCACAAACGAATAATTCTCAAGTGCGAAGAGGGAATCTAGACTTTGACGTTTGTGGTTTTAAAATCCCAGATTTGTATTTTTAGGGTGTTGGCATTTGGGAAGAGATTCACTTGAAGAGAGCAGTGGGAAACAACCAGAGTTCACAAGCGAGCATCCCAATCTTACCAGATTCAGATTCATCTAGTGAAATTATCCATAAATGCTCTGATGGAAACAGGAACAAAAGAATATTCTGGGGCCTATTCTTCACACAAAGGGAACACATTTTAGTGGAGAGCTAATCTGCATTGGAAATTATCCAATGGAATGGAAGGGTTGAAGGTGGGCGTTAAGGTGAAGCAACTTGACAAAACACCTCTGATAACTGAATTGCCAACAGAGGAATGTATGTGTTTCTGAATGTGAGAGATAGATGTAGATGAGGGTTGATATAACTAGAGCCACAAGGGTCCAAGATCTATTAGAAAGGATCCAAGGTGGAAAGCTAACTCTTTACTATCTGTGTGAGAGAAAAGCACATAATCTGAAATTTGCTAAATGTTCTTGGGTATTACCAGAACTGCCCATGTCCATGGTGATAAAGCTTTTTAGGGCAAGAATTTTAAAATCTAAGGTAGTTGAGTTGAGAAAGTGCTTACAACTTCTTGTAATTAACTTCTTGGAAAAACAGCTGTTTCTGAGGCAGAAATATTTTTTAAATGTGTTTTGTCAGCTGAGTATTCATTTTTGCCAAAGAGTATTTCATAAATGAGGTTTAGTGATGGGTTTAAAGAGTATTTCTTCTCTGAGCTGATGCATGTACATCTTTTCTCCATTTGTGTATCAAGAGAACATCGAGGGAGCGCCTGGGTGGCTTAGTCAGTTAAGCGTCCGACTTTCGCTTAGGTCATGATCTCGCAGTTCGTGGGTTCGAGCCCCGCGTCGGGCTCTGTGCTGACAGCTAGCTCAGAGCCTGGAGCCTGTTTCAGAGTCTGTGACTCCCTCTCTCTCTGACCCTCCTCTGCTCATGCTGTCTCTCTCTCTCTCTCTTCTAGAAATAAATAAAACATTAAAAAAAAAAAGAGAACATTGAGCAAATGCATTTTCTCTTGGTTTATGGAAGGAACTGGGGGTAAACTACACAATTTTCTTACCGATAAATGTCAAAAAGAAAAACTGAAGTATACTTCCAAGCAAAATTTATTAGATGTCTATTCAAGAAAAACACAATGACCTTCGCTTGTAAGAATTCAAAGTCAATTACCTGAAAGCCAGGTATGAATATTTTTCCTTTTAAAATCAGATACAGAGAGTAGAAACAGTAATTTTTCTTAAATATGACAGGCAACAGATATTGAAATCTTTTCTCATAAATGGCATCAAAGATAATTATTCATTTATCAGCAAAGCTGCATGCAGTTGACTCAGTTTCAACCCCAAAGCCTTTAAAATATAAAGCTGGTTGTGAATTTGACAGTAATCAAGGTAGTCTACTCAAAGATGTTTCTTTACCTTCTTTCTAATGAAATTCCTCTGTAATCAGTATTTATGTACATTTCAGTTTGGCTGCTAAGATCTTGTAAGTTCATAAACTTTTGCATAAATGCTATCTTACAGAACTGCGCAATCAAGGTGTGATTGTGATCCGTGGGATATGTGAAGGATAATCTGTTGAAAGTGTTTTAGCTTGGTTTAAAGTGAAGGATAAAGACCAAATTAGGAAATTCCCATTTTCTCAACAACTAAATAGTCTGTACAAAAAAAGAGCAAACATATGTACAAAATGCTAGGGTCTACGTACATTGTGAAAAGATCAATCACTGTCCACAGAAGAAACGCCATAAAAAGGTTTATCTATAAGGTGCTCAAGATCCAAATATGAATAGTTCTTATGCAAAGTCATAAGAAATACAAAGCTAGTTCTCAAGTTATGTGTAATTCAGGCACTGTTGACCATATTAAATCTTTCAAGTCCCTAAACCATTTTGTAAATTTCTACTTGAGAGCAGAAAATATAACCTGAATGATTTAACATTGCCTCTAAAAAGTGCCTAATGTATTCCGAGGAAATATTTTACACACACCAGGAAAATCAGGCTCAACATATTCCTGTCCTCAAATGTAGCCAGGATTCTGAGTTCCATAGAAGAAAAATAATTATCATAGTAAAAATAACTGTATTGATCATAATCCTTGCTAAAACCAGCCTTCATACTTGTGATGCTTCTGAAGTACTCTATTTCTATAAAATAATGCATGGGATTCCTTTACATTTCCATAAAATGTACAACATACCATACAGATTGTCTGTTCTCACACAATCTCAAATGTATATGTGTGCACACAGTGAAATCTTACCTATGAGTATTGCTTACAGATACTTTCAAGTGTCTACATTAGAATAATTCTTTGCACCTCTCACTAACACTGTTTTTATTAAAATTTTACCAGATAAATAAAACACTAAGAGCTCATTGTTCATGATGCTGATTATTACATTTTAATATAAAATAGCAATGCAACTTTACAACACAATAGGTTTTTTTTTTTTTTGTAGTCTAGCTAAACCTCTTATAGTCTCATGATTATTACCAAAGGCTCTTATTCACTTACGGTTTGCACTTCTAGAAAGTACAGAAGAAACTGCAGGTAAAGACTCCTATTTGAAAACTCACATTCAGTCAACAAAATCACACTCATCCAAATTAACTTTCCTACTCTTGCTTTCGATTTTGTAATCACTGTGCGTATTACAAGATATAAGTGCAGGCAAACGATAGCCGAAGTACAGTTTTCATGTCGTGTAAACCAGGACACTAGGCAAACTCGTGAAAGGAAAAATATACTGCCAAGCTAAGGATGCGAAAATGCAAACCACAGCATTTAGTGATGTTCAATCTCTGGTTGCCTGAGGGGAGAATTTCTTTCAAAGCGTACTAGAGAGTCTCCTGGAGACATTTCCTTTTTTTTTTTCCGCCCTCAAACACTTAACCCTTTCTAACTATAATGATTTTCTTTCTGATCTCATGTATCGACTTTTCAAAGTTTAGAGCAGAAATCAGGAATATGCACTTTCACGTGGAAGCAAGTCTTCCAGCCTCCCCAGGGCTGGGCGGCAGGCAGTTCCTTTGCTGGTGGTTTGGTGGCAGGTAGAGATGGTGACGATGGGTGACTTCTACTGGAAATTGGAAGGCAGGACCCCAGGAGGGAAGAGGAGGCCTGAGGGTATCTTTCAGGCAAGGTTATGCAGACCTGGTGCTGAAATGCGGCATAAAAAGGAGGGAGAATGATTCACAGCCGCTTGACATAGTTTCCGGGAAAAGTACCAAAGAATTTGGTTCTTCTCGAGGTTCCTGAAAATAGAAGCAGTAAATAAAATGAACAACAATGAAATAATCAGTTTATCTATGCGGGCTTGAAAGCTCTTCATTGACAAGCCTCCACTGCGAGAGCAGCAGGGTTTGGGAAAGAGAGAGCAAACTCACTTGAAGGCAGAGCCGACAAAGTGAGCAATTTTATCTATACTGCCTGCCGCCTTCCCCGCCTCTGAAGGTTCAGTGCCATGTCCCATTGTCCCATCACACCCCAGGCTAAGCGAAAACACTCAGTCTCCCTGCCTGAAGGGAAAGACAATTCTGCTGAGGAGGTGGGTTTTTAAGTGTAATGATAAGTGTAACATGCTCCATCCCCACGGCTGCTAGACAAGAGTGAGGAAGGGAAGAGCACTGGGGAAGTGACGTTTTCAAGGACAATCTAAATAAAGACAAGGCTGGCAGTGTGATGGGATGGACCAGAAGAGTGCAACACAGTGTGACAATTGCATTATCCAGGACCATCCAGTTTTACGATATCTTAGAAGAGCATGCTGAATGCCACCTCATTCATTTACAAATAGCACTGCCAGAGTCCTTGATAAAACATAAAAATGTATAGTCACTAAAGGAAAGAAAAGACCAAGAACTATTTGTGGACAGGGGTTCATCATCAGATACAAGTGGCCACCATCAAGATGGCCTTTGGTTTCAAATAGCAAAATCCCTTTGAAACTTTTAATAAAGGTTGGTGCGCTGAATTCTTCCTTAGCATTTCCAGCGCAGATAGAGTGAAGAGAGACTCTACAGTTTCATTTACCATTTATGTTCTGGAACTTCTTGTCTTGATTTCCTTGATTTTCTTTTCCCCTGTATGGGTTAGCCATTTATTTTTATTCTAAATGGGGGAATTAATATGAACAGAAGCAGAGGCTGGTGTCTGCTCTGTTCTTTTATTATTTTCCTCACTGATTTCCTCACTAAAGAAAATTCTCATTTCCTCATCTTGCCTCCTCTATTCCCCCTGTGCCTGCCTTTCTTTCTTTCTTTCTTTCTTTTCTTTCTTCCTTCCTTCCTTCCTTCCTTCCTTCCTTCCTTCCTTCCTTCCTTCCTTCCTTTCTCTTTCTTTCTCTTTCTTTCTTTCTTTCTTTCTTTCTTTCTTTCTTTCTTTCTTTCTTTCTTTCTTTCTTTCTTTCTTTCTTTCTTTCTTACCGCTTTCTTGTGTGTCCCATTGTATGATTCTCTTATCTTACAAATGTTTTCTCAGAAAAGCTCTCTTCTTCTTTTAAGATGGTAAGAATGAGATTTTCTTTTAAGTAGTAAGAATGGAACTTCTCTCTACTTTTACAAAAAATTAACATGGAGGTGGAGCATTGAATTTTCAGGGCACTTAACATCAGACCTAGTAAGTAGATGAATTGCTCACTTCATCTTGTTTTTTTCCCCAGTTAGATCCTCACTGCTGACACCTAACTGACCAATGTTTTTCGTTCAGGAAACACTGTTGTTATGGTTCTTAGATCTCACTCTTTTCCAGGTTGGTGCTATTCAAAGAAATTTTCTCTCTCAGTTGAACTGGAAATAAAACTAGCAGAAAAAAATCACTAGCAGAAAAAAATCACTAGCAGGAAAAAAATATCTGAAGCAGTAAATACTAAGCCATATGAAAAATGCAGTGCAATGTGGGAAAGATCCAAGCATTACAAGTGCCTTTGACTATCACAGGTGAGCAAATACAAGCAAGTTATAAAATGGCCAAAGGCGTGTGAAAGGAAGTGTACACATACCCACAAACCATCCATCGTCACACTTCTCCATCACGTCAATGACATCGCTTTCTCTGAGCTCCAGCTCATCTTCATTCCTAGGAGTATAGTTATATAGAGCCTGAAACCTTAAACAGGACAAATGGATGCATTTAAAAACAAATCTTTATAGCTTTGTGAAACTATAGAAAATTATACAATAGTCATTTTCCTGTTAACATTTCTATTCTTATTAACATGTAAAGTTAGATAGTGTAAATCTTTGGTAAGCATGGAAAGTAAATAGAAATATTTAGGTTGTCATGGGACTTAGACCACTCTGATAGCATTTCAAAACTACAGTAAAGATATTTGTGGAAGGTTAGAATATCCACAAGTTGAACTAAAGCATTTTGACATTTATAAATCAGACCTGTATTGCAACTGTCCACTCATAGATATCATGAAGACATTAAATAATAGTACTGAATATAAAAGAAGTGATATGTGTTTTATCCAGCAATGTAAAATGGATTACAGCTTTAGCTGACCATAATCAAAAGCACATAATGGAGACTTCCAAGTTGAATTTTCAAATGATTCTAAATTGAGATGTTCAAACTGTCTCAGACATGTCTTCTAAATTGTTATGTGGGGATTACTGTAAAAGAAAAGGTTATTTTTTCCACCAACAGGAATTCTTTACAGCTGCTTAGTTTGATAGTTTGAGCCAGTGTTTTATGAGAATTTAGAATTTGAAAATCTGTAATTCACCTATGAAGTCAAGCAGATATATTCTATGCTCCGCGATCACTGAGCCAATATCAAACAGTAGATTATGGGTATAAGGTTCTTTTTAAAATAGGTCCTGGAGAAATTGTGTTTGATGTTGGAACTCTCCCTTGAAATAATTTTATATAAAAAAGAATTACTGATCAGAATGCTTCCACTTTCCTTTCTCTGCCTGAATTCTTTGAGAGCCCTTATTTTGGTGATGTTGATCAATAAAATTGAATTTGTGGTTAACAAAATAGTGTATATTTGGGGCGCCTGGGTGGCTCAGTCGGTTAAGCGTCCGACTTCGGCTCAGGTCATGATCTCACGGTTCATGGGTTTGAGCCCCATGTCAGGCTCTGTGCTGACGGCCAGCTTGGAGCCTGGAGCCTGTTTCGGATTCTGTGTCTCCCTCTCTCTGGCCCTCCCCTGCTCACGCTGTCTCTATCTCTCTCTCAAAAATAAATAAAACATTAAAAAAATTTTTTAAAAATAGTGTATATTTTACTGCATAACGTGGATGGATTGGCATTTGGGAAGTGAAGACAAATTCCAACAGCTGAGCATTTCAGGAAGCATTTGATATGCAATTAACATGCAAACTTTACATTACTATTAAAATATTACCAATATAATGAGGGGGGACTTTAAAATATCAGTGAATTTTTGTTTTTGCTGCTTCTTATAACGTTGTATGATTCTGCCAATGCAAGAAAATAAAAACCACATTTCAGGGCACTTTGGATTTTTAAGGTCAACTTTAGAAAGCAGATAATATTGAATACTGCTGAAACAAGAATGATTTACATCTAATTACTTCATTCGCTCAGAAAATCACATTTTGGGGGAACAAAACTATTCTATCATTTGAACTCAAACATCATGTCATAAATCAGGAACATGGCTCCTTTGGCTTTCCTCTGTCCATGAACTTTTTCAGATCAGGAGACCCAGATAAAGTTAGCTTGTAGCAGGGGTGGGTGATGGTGGTGGCTGTCTGGGAAAGAGCTGGTGAGATGTGGTGCTTTGGCACACATCGTCTGCTAGAATACGTTATTTTCCCCGGCTGGTACCAAAGCCTGAAATCACATCTTTAGAGCTCTCTTTCCCTGTTAATATTTTATCCTTCTAGAAAATCTTTTCTGCCACTTGCACTCTTTTGAAACTGGGCATCTGATGTCTTCTTTTGAGAAAGGATTCTGATTGTAGAGGAGAACAGAGAAAGGTAGCCAGAATCCCAAAGCAGTGGTAAAAAAAGACAGGGAGGTTTTGGAAACCAACATTGCTTAATTTCAATATTTGCACGGGGCCAGCTTGTTGTTTGTTTTAAGGATTTGATTTGGAGGCTGCTCAGGTGAGGGGATGGTATCTTTTGTATATTCCTATGGGGAAAGTTGATTTCAACCTGGTCCCTTTACCAGTTTCACATTCGAGAGACACAGTCATTCCTGGGAGGCTGATTCTACAGATATACATTGAAGCTCTTGCTTTGGAAAACACTGGTTCTCTGACTGAACTTTGCAGGCTTCGGCCTTCTTCCCTCGGGCACTTGTCCAACCCCTTATGGAGACAGGCCCATTTAAGGCCACCAAACCCCAGCTGCTTGAAGAATCTCAAGGTCCCAAGAGCTAAAAAAACAAAATTGGCACAAACTCCTACTTCACTTTGGTATGACAAAAGCCAGTGTGCTTGTCCAAATTTACTTACCATTCGGATTTAATTAAACCACAGGAAAAAAAAAAAAAGAAAGAAAAAAAAGAAAAAAATTGGGAGTTTCATGGAAAACATAACAAACCTTCCGGAACACCCCCCTGCCTCTGTTGGCTTTCAAAACCAGTGTTGCACGACAGGAAATGCAGCCGAATTACAATTAAAATGCTATTTTGAAAGATGCTGGTGAGATGAATGATGGTGGTGAAGTCAGGATGCTTCCAAAACAAATTTGTCTTTTAAATAAAATATGCTCAGCCAAGTTTGAAGCTGTCTCTATAACTTGCAATGTTTCCCATAACACATTTTACTATAATTCTGAATTGTGGCAACATTATTATAACATTAGGTGCCTATTTTCGTTCCAATCTATTTTTTAAATGAAAGAGATTAAGTGACACCCCATCATTCCACTCATTGGGGTTGTAATTAAATAGAAATTTAGTAAAGAATGTTTCAATGTCCACAGCAGGACCTTGAAAATGTGCCTTCTCCCACCTGTAAGCTCTGTGGTTTCCATAAATACCCAAATGACCAACACTTGGAAGTATTCAACTTTATATGACATAAGACAGTATAGCATAATATATTTATTAATACATAAACTCCTTAACAGCTACTTAATACAGTGTGTCGGTAATGCAATAGACCTAAACAGGCCCGGAATTTTTTTTTTTGTGATGTGTTCCCATCATTTGCTTAAATAAGAAAACAAACCAAAACTTTAGAATTGCAGGTCATACTTGATTTTTTTTTTCAGTTAAATGGAACTTTGAATGATTCTTACTTCCAACCTATTCTTTTTATAATCTTTTCCCTAACAAGAAAACCTTTCTGGTTGTACTCGGTGAGAGGCAGTCTCAAGGGAGAGATGGTTTCTGAAGAGCATGCTTTTAGCTCAGTGCAAGGTCTCTGAGAAGTGAGGAGGGAGCCAGAGGTGAGGAAGGCACCGGGCCACTTGCTCTAACCCCAGGTGAGCAGAATGTGGGCAGTGGGCTGGAGGCTGTGCTTATGCTCAAGTGTACCCCCCAAGGGTTAGTTCTGCCTGTGCTCCTTTCCAGGGGCTAGCTCCTGACTTACAGACTACGCAGTAGCCAGTGGGAAGTATATAGCCTCTGAACATCTATCATGGGCAAAATGGAGTAGAAACAGATATACACACACAAAAGAGAACCTTAAAGACAATGTCTGACATCCTTGATTTGAGTTGACTTACACGTCAGAAAGGAGAGGGAGTCTGAAGGTGTGAAAAGGGATTTAACTGAATGGGATTTAACCTTGGAATTTTGTTACAAACGTAACACTTCCGGTCTACTTTTACATTCTTCTGGTCTTCAAATATGTGTACAACCACTGTCAGGACATTTCTGTGTCTTTACAGCTGTGGTTACTAGAATTTGCATGGTTGGTAGAACAAAGAGGGAGGCAGATTCATAAATCTTAGGCATTACTGGAACATTGAAAGGCTTTTCTGGCGTGTAAATCAGTCTTCCGCGCAAAACCATGGGTTTCTTTTTAAAATGAACTCTATGTTATGAAAGATAAAAGACTGTTGTAATTTCTCTTAATCACAGAGGCCTCATTTTAGTTACTTTGTCCTCTTTCACTTGCAAAGTTGTACAGTCCTCTGTTTTGGTATACCAGTTGTCTCTTTTGTGAGCCAAGGTTAGTCTTGAACTTAAAAGATAAGAAGAATACTTACGGTTCCCCCCCACCTTGAATGTTTTCATGAGTAAACACAGGACGCTGTGGCTGAAATGAAATGATTTTCAATGTAATCAGTGTTTAAACTGGTACTAAGTAAAAGATAATTTGGATAATGGCATGGTACTTTTCTTGACATTTAATATTTCCTGTTGTAAAAAACCAAGAGGAAGGAAAAAACCAAATAAAGGGTTTCTGCAGGATTAATAATTCAAATATTTTGAAGGGTGCTTTTGATTAAATGAAAATAACCAAGGTTCAAATATTTTGAATGTATCTAGAATCTAGTCTGCTCAAGCTTTAAGGAAAAGTCAGGGTTTAGTCCCATTGATTTTTCAGAGGCCAGGAATATGGCAAGAACATAGACACCAAATCACTAAAATGGGAAATCTGGACACCTTCATACAACCTTATTCGTCATTGTTTTCTCAAACAAGCAGAAAATAAACCACATTTAGTCTAACAGCAAAGTATCCACATTCATTCTACTTTTCCTTCACAGACAACATTTTCACATACAGTACAGATGAAAATATAGATAGGCAGACATCCCATGCTACATTTGAATTAACACTCTCAGTTCTCAATCTTGAGAAAACACATGCATTTTTAAAAAGAGAAAACAGAGAACTTTAAATAGAGCATAACAAACAATATCCAGGTAACATGTAGCATTTTACCTTAGAAGAGAAATATTGGTAGAAATTCCCAGTGCACTGAACTCTCAAAAGAGTTTCCTTTCTTTTTAAACTAAGCATCAAGACCAGTATCTGTAATAGATACTTATAATATTGGAAATGACAAACCTTAGCATCCCACATATCCACATAAATATTGCAACGAATGAAAGTTAACACGTTTGTCGAAAATGTAAACTCAATGTAGTTTATACCGATTGCCTGAATGTTACCATTTCAGGAAAAGAAAAATATTACAATTCATTCACAACACAGTTTAAAGGCATCCTCTTCTAAATGGATGGCTGCATGGTAAAATGAGATAAATAAGAGTTTGCATGACAGTTATTAAAATGTCTTCTTGATGACTACCGAATTAGACGGATCCATGTCCTCAGACATCAGGGCTAATTGCTGGGTCCTGCATTAGAGTGGATTACTCACAGGCTCAGCATTTTCCCCTGCAAATTGTCCGTTAAAAATCCCACTGGCCCAAGAACAGATGGGGAACTCTGGGGTTCCTTTCAGTCTATGAGTCTATAATTAGCTCCCCTTCCTCAGTTCTGTATTCACGCCCCTCCCATTCAAGCTGTCTTTCTTGCATAAGAAGACTAGGCTCTTAGGACCCCTGTGTGGCTCAGTAGGTTGAGAATCAGACTTCGGCTCAGGTCATGATCTCACTGGTTCCTCAGTTTGAGCCCCACATGAGGCTTCCTGCTGGGAGCCTGTCAACACAGAGCCCGCTTCACATCTTCTGTCCCCCTCTCTCTGCCCCTTCCCCACTTGTGCTCTCTCAAAAATAAATAAATATTACAAAAAAGAAGACCGGACACTTACATTACTAAAACTTTAAGCATTCAATCTATTAATTGGAAGTGTTTACTTCTTAGAAATTTCACTCAGCAGTCTGCGTAAGGAATATATAAACCTAAGACTAAACAGTGGATAGAAATGACTGGACATGTGTATGGCTTAAGAATATAAAACTTCTAGAAATCAATATAAAATTACTCACAAAGTATTTATTATTAAAATGATAAAATATACTATTTTAAGAAAGATGGCTGCTAAGCCATTTTCTAGCCATATTAAGGCCATTTAATTCAATATAAATATATTGAGGGATCCTATAATTATTATATATAAATAATAATAAGTACATAAATATATAAATAAATAAATATTATATGTAAAATAAATATAAGCCACCCACAAGCCTATATCCTATTAAATGTCTTCAAATCCTCATCCAATCATGTACATATAACTTTTAGGCAGAAATAAGATATGTATATATCAATTAATGTTTTATGATAGTTGTCCAGTCCTCTTTTTCATTTTAAGTCACTGCAGAATAATATCCCTCACATATGTGTAGCTATACTTTTTAGTTTTCCTAACCATTTCTCTTTTGGTTTTGAAGTTAAGGTTCAAACTTAAAGACTAAAGAGTCTAGCCTTTTTTCACGTTCATAAGCATCAATGCTATAAGCATTTTTATACAAAGAATTAAATTTTCTTTTGGACATTCTTTAGAATTCACTTCCAGGAGTAAAATTTCTGGCCAAAGATTATACATTCAAGCCACATGATACTGAAAATGCTCGTGTTAATCACTCAAAAAAATATAAAACTTTAAAAAATCAAAATGCTGTATTTCAAAGCATATATGAGACAGCTGCCGTTGTCTCACAAAAACAGCATAACACCAGTTATAGTGCAGAACAAAGTTAATTAAGAAAATATCATCTGATGATCTGTTCTTACCTTCAGAGAAAGTGTTTCATGAAATGTAGTTCGTTGCGCTCTTTCCACATATTTTAAGTCATTCTAATGTTTTTAAGTTGAGTATGAGTTTTACTTTTCCACCATGGCATCCATGGTAAATCTGGGAGGTCTAGTTTTCCTTGCTCTCTTCTGTTAAATGTGAATATGACTTAATTTTTTAATTTTTAAAAAAATTTTTAACGTTTAATTTTTGAGAGAGAGAGAGAGAGAGAGTGAGCAGGGTAGAGGCAGAGAGAGAGGGAGACAGAATCTGAAGCAGACTCCAGGCTTTGAACTGTCAGCACAGAGCCTGATATGGGGCTCGAACCCATGAACTGTGAGATCTTGACCTGAGCTGAAGTCAGATTTGTAAGAGACTGAACCACCCAGGAGCCCCTAAATAAGACTTTAAAAATCAGATTGTTCATTGAAATAAAACAATCTACTTTTAAAGTCCCTATGGGACCTTCTTGTTGTCATCATTACAATTCTACTACTTTAATTCCTTTAATTCCACTCACATCATAAGTTATTTAAATGAATCATCCTCTGACAATTAGGAACCTTGGGCTGTTGCCAAAAGTATGTGGCTCCCTTAATACACAGGCTTCTTGTCTCAAGGACTCATGCTCCTCGGTAAGCCAGCCAGTAATGTCCTTGTTTTTACCAGTCCTTTGCAATATGCCTTTTCTCTTCCTTTATAACTTTCAAGTGAACCTCCCACCCCCTTCTCTGACTTACTGGCTTTCTATACTGTTCACATACTCAGGCCAAGATTTATCACAACCTTTATTGGCACTATTATCTTAGTGACTTTAGGAACTTTTCTAAGTTCACTTTTAACAGGAATCATCTCCATGTGACCCTGGATAGTTAGGAACCAGTTTTGAGGAAATATGACTAGTTACAGTATTTGAATTAATTTATTTTTAAAAATATTTGGTCCATAGAGGAACAAGTGGCATTAATAGCTAATTAGGAGGGCACATTCCTGTCTTTCTGATATTGGCACTGACTAACAATGTAGCCTTGGATAGTCACCTCAGCTTTCTTTTCTCTAAAACCAAAGAGTTGGCTAGGATGGTGGTTAGAATCTTGTCCCCCTCAGGGAATCCATTTCCACAGACACACTTCTTCTGTTATGTTTAGGTGCTTTCATCAGCCTTACCCTCTTTTGTCAGAGAGCTGTGACAGCTGACACTTGTCGATTAATTCTCAAGTGCCCCAGTCATGTAAAAAGTCAGAGTAAACAATTCAGCTTCATTTTTCAGATCAGTGAACCAAAAACTCGAAGATCATTTCTTAATATCACAAATAAGTAAAAAGAAGAAACAAAGTTTTGACTGGCACTCATAGTGAAAGATTACTATGATGGATTAGAAGGATCGGTATCTTTATTTTGTCTTTTAGGCAAGTGTTTATGTTCTATATGGATACTCAAACCAATCATCTTAGGAGACTGTTTTTTGCCTTAACCTTTCCTGGTGTTAAACTCTAAGGGCACAAACCTTGAGGAAAAGATCTGTAATGTATTTGCACTCTATTGCCACTGAATGGTGAGTAGTGGAAGCAACATGCTAAAAGTTTATGCCTTTGGACAGCTCTCACGAATTTCGTTCCTTCACCCTGGATTCATTTTGAAAGGATATTTTAAAGACCATAGAGCATTGTAGAACAGACATTCATGTGTTTTTCTGACTATATACTTCCCTTCCCATGTTTTAAGTTCTTGAGAAAGGATCCCTGTTTAGCCACCAGTATTTTTGGTCTGTGCTTGCTTCTGTTTTAACTCTGCTTGGCGTTACTCATAACTTCTCAGCAGTGTTGTGAGCAATATGGAATCTATACTTGTGACATTCAGAGAGTCTTATGTCTGTCTTAGGAGTACAGTAAAATTGGAAAACCCAATGAAGCGCCATGTTGTTTTCATGGAATCCTAAATATTTAACTTTTTTCCTTGGCAATGTAGCCATCTCTCTCTCTCTCTCTCTCTCTCTCTCTCTCTCTTTTAGTGTAGCTATTTTTTTTAAGTTATCAAAAGCAGATACCAATGGGACAGGTTTTAAACACATGCTAATATTCAAAGCCAGAACCAATCCAACCATAAGGGAACGGGTCTGAAATATCCTAGAGCCTCTGGTTTCAGTAAAACATGTACTTGCCTTGTTCAGATGGGGAGATGCAGTCTGTTCAGAAGCCATCTATCTATCTCAGCAGAGGCATCTCTGGAGGATAAGCTTTATCTAGTATTTGGTAATTCTTAAGTGAGGATTGGCTGTAACTTTAAATACTAATGTGGAAGAATATTTGAAGGAGTTATAGGTATTTCTAGAGATTTTAGTCATTTTTTCCCCAGAAAATGTTAGGGGAAGTACTTGCCAACCAGAATTCGATGACATTCTCCTAATGACAGTCCCATGTTTATGTTTATAGACTTACTTTTCCTCCTTAAATGATGGTACACAACTTTGGATGGATCTAAAGAACATAGAATATATTTTTTTTTCTGGCAAAGAAAAAAACTTGAGGTGATGCAAAACCTAGCATCTCCCATTTCCCATGACCCATGGGAAATTTATGGTTGGGCCATATTAATTGTGGAAAA